TGAACCTGGTCTGGTTCCTCCACCCTCCTTCAGGCGGAGAAGCCATCATTTATACAGGCCGCGGGGCAGCTGTGCTTTGAAAGCCCAATGTCCACTGCAGTGTTCACGGACTGCATGTAAACAGCAGGTGTAACGCATGAACACACACTAGCCACACATGCATGCTCGCGTAACCTATATAGTGCAAACACGGACAGACAAACATGCACAATTGAACACAACCTCAAACAAACTATTAATGGGGTATTATCTATGGTACATTAGACACACACACACACACACACACACGCACACACACACGCACGCACACACCGCAGTGAAAGTGCTGAGGTTCCCTTCAACTTCACACAGCATTATAAACCTCCACTTCACTAGAGTACCAAACAAAGCAGTCGTTAAAAGTGAAAGCACCCAGTTGGTTACCTCCCACCGCCAAAAAACACAAGCGCACACACACACGCACACAAACACACACACCTTTAATGGCATCTTTTCTGCGGCACATTAGCCATTGTGTGGTAATTAATGGGAGAGTCATGGTGTTCAAAAAGCCAGTCTTCTCTCTGCAGACTAAGAGCTGTACAGCGCAACAATGGCTTAATGAGTAAACACACCGCGTGTCTCATGAATAAATTATTTGTGCCTAGCAATTAATTTTCCCTATTGAAGTTTGGAGAACAAGCGGGACTTCATAAATCAAAAATGGGAGGGTGTTGGGAGAGAGGACATGACGGCCACTTTTGGTGTGTGTGCCTAGGCAAGATCCTATGTAACGTGTTTATTATCTGTGCAATGTTATCTGTGTGTGTGCACAATTGTTGGGTCTGAGTTGACACTTGGTATATTAAAGGGTACATGTTTTTTTTCTTGTTGTTATTTATTGTTTACACAAATAAATGTTTGTTTCAATGTGTCAGCTGGTGTCTGAATGTACATTTTCTATGTGCACAGCATGTGTGTGTTAGTATGATGTTTGGAAAACTTACCGAAAGGAGCTTCCACGTTATCGGTCGGACTTGTCGTGGGATTCCAGACCAGCTGAGTTTCCGTAGCTCCTCTGTAAAACAAAAACAAAAATAAAGGAGGGGCCATTTTAGATTATCCACAGGCACTTTAAATCAATAATTCTATCAATAATTTGTCAATGTACAAACTTCTATGTGTCAAAGAAATGGTGGTTGCCAACAAGGGGGCTGTAAGAGACTACTTAATGTCATCACACCGAGCATTAGCCGCATTTACGCTTCAAAAATCACAAAGTGGTGTTATTATGTGGAGATTATCTTGCTGAACAAGACAAGTAAGTATCATAAATGTGTGTTTGCCACAGAGAGATAGTTTTCTGCAATATTCCGAAATGTCAAGGGAGCCTTTGAGATGCTCACTTCCAGGTCACCCTACAAAATGTCATCACTGCACCAATCTATTTGGTAATGAATAAATGCTGTAATATGGAATTTAAAACCAGGAAAAGACCACACTTGTGCCACTTAGGGAATCCAAATCGAAGGCAATATCTAGTCTCATTCCTATCACTAAATCAATATAAAATCTATATTTTAGCAAGCACTATTTCATGCTAATAAATACAGCTTTACAGCGATGTAATGCTGCGTTCACACCGGACGCGATGCGACTATTCGCTTCGCTCTAATCGCTCCTATCGCATCGCTCGAAACGCAGGAGTTTCACCGCGGCTGCCAGCTGTGTTTACTCGCATCATTCAAACAAGACGTGCTGGCTCGGGAGCTACAACTACAACAAATGAACATATTTTACCGTGATTAAATTGTAATACACGTTTCTAAATGATGCCAAAGTAACAACATACTGATACCGGTTAGTAACAACCATGAATTAATGCTTTGACAAGTCTGCAGACAAGACGGCAGGCAAAAAACCTTTTAAAATGCTTGTTTTCTGAATGAAGATCGGGTCGACCAGGCTAAGCTAACGTTGTATATGCTCATTCCACACTCATAAGAACGGCCTACAGACATAAATAAAGCAGCGACTGTATTCGCCATGACACAGGCAGTCTGTGGTTTGTACTTGTTTAACTTTTGTCTAGTTTCTGAACAGATATGAGGAGCTGTGAGCTCTGTGTGCTAACTACTAACAGCTAACGGCTGATGTTGTGTGGTTGAACGTCAGTGACGGCAGGCTGAGATCCTCACCGCTGATTGGCTTCCGCGAGAACGCGTCACGTGAATTTGACGCTCGAGTTGAAAAAATTGAAGTCTCGCGTTTAACGCGGCACCGTTCAATCGCCTCAATCGCGTGATTCGCGCCGCGTCCACCGCTTCATGCGCACCGTCGGAGCGAATTCGGGTCTGTCCGCGTCTCTGCATTGACTTTACATGTAATCGCGCCGCCCCCAAACATCGCATCGCGTCCGGTGTGAACGCAGCATAATAAGGCTTCAAATTCCAATGAAACAAAGTCCAATATAAACAGTTATCAAACCATTATTGGATCACGGATAAGTCTTTCATGGACATCTTTCAATAAATCAAATAGCCAACCAACCATGTCCTCACTGTCCAAACTTCCCCTCCTCTTCATCTCTTTTACTTCACTGAAATCATCTAATGGGTTTGAAGTGGATTATTAAAAAGATTCTCTGGCGGGCTGTAATGTAAGATAAATCTGATGGAGAGGTTTAAATTGAACTTTTAGATTGGCAGAGTAGTTCCCGTTGGGTCCATGAAGACCCAGAAAATATGGCCTAATGTTCGGTGCTACACAGACAGACAATTGTCCTGTCTCTCTCGAACACACGATTATCCAAAGTATGACAACCTGTGTCTTCTATCACATTTTTGGTGATCCTAGATAACAATTAGACTATCTTTAATGTGAAGGGTATAATTTCCTTTCAGCAAAAGATCATTTTTAAAATATATAAAGCTATTGTTTGTTCCGTTACATAATATTTACCAATCTGAGGGATATTCTGATCCACAGTAAGTGTTTTTTAGGCAAAATGTATTTCATTTTCAACCTCTTTTGGATAATAGACATGATATTTCCTTCCCATCATATATTCTTCACTTAAATAACTGTTCTGAAGGAGAGTTAAATCACCAAATGAAATGTCTACCAAGACTAGGCAGTTAAGGATATCTATGTGTGCGTTCCTTCAGCAGTGTTTCTTAAAAAGCAGGAGTTTTCAGGATGAGTTCTCTCTAACATTAACTCATCCATTATTCACAGATATATCCTCCTCTGCCGGGGCCCTGCAAATCTACAAACCCCCGATTAGCATTCGACAAGACAAGTTGCCGCAGCCAAACTCAGGCAAATCTTAAAACGCAAAAGAAATCTCTTTGCTTGTAATTGCTCCGCCGGCTGTTTTACCTGCATTCCAAGAGTGAAGGCAGGAGGGGAAATTGATTTGCGTGCAAATTAAATGGCACTGCCTTAATATACTTTTCTTGGAAAAAAAGAAACAACTGTACTTAATGAATAAGCCAAAGTCTTCCTCGACTCTTATTCAAGGCACAGGCTGGAAATTGATAAGCCCTTCGCACGGAGAGAACGATATTGATTAGTGCTGCCAAATGACTCTGCCGTGCCTGTTCTTCAAGGTAAATGCAATGGAGAGTCAGAGACAGATCGTAGGATAGGAAATAACAATCAGCTAAACTGCAATGGGCTAAGTCCATTGGCTAAATTGAGTGAAACGCATTAGAGCTTGTTCAGCTGAAGGGAGAAGCTATTCATTCACTATAGTTCCTGTGCATCTTCCACTTGAAATCTCCCCCTTACCTTGTCCACGGTGAATTTAATTATATAGAAATTCAATACAGTGATCTAGTGCAAGGCATGGCTGTTGGTTCAGAGGGAGTCAGAGCCCTACGGTATGGGAAGGTTTTTGATTATACCAAGGTTGCATGTGCAGCAGCAAGAAGAAAAAAAAAGACTCTAAGACATGACACAATCCATAAAAGCTGTGTGTAAAAGCATTAGTGCAGACAAAGGAATAGCTGTTTATTAAAAGCATTTGCCTCTCCTTTAATCTTTTTGCACTGGGCCCTAAATTAAATGTGGCTGTTTTTCTGAGATTGGCACGAAAAGGCAATTTAACATATTAAAGCTCAATCAAAAGGTAGTGTTAATTTTGTCAGCTACTTATTTTTAATTAAATCTTAGCCCTGTGTTTAATGTTACTAGTTTTGTAGTTTTTTTTAATCAACGCCATCCTGAATTATAGTCAGGTTTTAGTTGCCTAAATGTAATTTCGCTCTCTTTAAAGTAAAAAAAAAACATTTAAGTAAAGTTTTAGTCAATCAGAGACTTCAAGCTTGTAAGTGAAAACTTGGGGCGTGCATTTTGAAAGCGATGAGTCAGTGTTCAGAGTTGCATTTTAAGTATTATAAGCCACAGGTTGACGCAGAAGGGTGCATGGCATAACATAGAAATCTCTGGTTCCTTTGCGTCAATTGGATTTTATTTTTTTATTTTTGGGCAACCAGTGACTTTATTTGAGCGATAACTCTGAAAGGGGGGACGACACATGGCACACAGTCCCAGGCCACATTTGAACCCGGGTACTATTGACCTCTTATAACAAGGACATTATAAGAGGTCAATACTATATCCATTGGAACCCTCTTTCTGCTAGTTTTCAGTTATAGCCAGGAGAACGCTTTATCAAACAATACCTTATGTTACTGACATGGTATAGCACAAGATTGACGCCTGTGATCCTGTCTCTGCACTCAACTCGTTTCCAGTCCCAGCGTGGTTCATTAAAATGCATCTTTTTCTTTTTTGCAGGCTCACGACAGACTAATTCCTGAGCCGTGGCAATTGATTGCCTACTGCATGTCAAAGCATTTATGCATACATTTATCAAATGCGCAACTTTCACAGCTCCCTATAGCTTGAAAGTGGATTTATTTTTACATCTTTTATTCTCCGTACCTGTGTGTATCAATTTGTATGTCTTAATGCTCCCGACGACATCTATCTTTCATACATAGAGAGAGTGGCAGCCGCAGTAAAGTTTGTAGAAGGCACTTACAAAGTCCAAGACTTTTAAGGGGGGAATCATTATCCTATGTGCACCATTACATTCATTACTCTCCCAACAGCTAGTCAAGGGTGTCTCTCCTCCTGCCTCGCACCTTTTGAACCTTCATTTGCACTGTCAGACAAAGAAATGAGTCCATGAATCTTGTGGGCTCTGGCTTAATTAAACTATGTTATATTTCCCCCACCCGGCATTAATCTCACCACAGGGGGTTACAGAGAGGAGGGGTGAAAGGACGTGAGTTTGCTAATCGACTTTACATTGTGATTCTGCAGTGATCTCCAGCAAGCCTTGTCCCCTTTGGTCAAACACTTTGTATTTCAGATAAGGCTGGAGAAGAAGGAATATGTGCCCTGAAGATGTTTGTATGTAGGTAGAAGTGTGCGGGAAAGGGCAAAGGCCACATATTTGTAGTATGTGGCCGACGGAACAAGCAGACCCATACATCATCGACGGAAAAAGAGCACACACAGCCTTTGCTCATGTCTACCAAACTCTCTCCAGCAGAGCAGAATCTAAATCACAGTTACCGCAGCCCAGATGCTGCCGGTACTACCGATGCACTGCACTGATACAGTACATGAAAAGTCAATGGTCATATTCTTCAAATTCACATATTGGAATTATTCCCGGGTAAATGCTGCTTTAAGATGTGCACATAGGTTATCTTTTGCATGGTATTCAAGATAATTTACCTCTGCCATTAAGGAGTTTTTTTAGCTTTGCTCTAAGCAAATGGGTAGAAACTCAAGATCTGTGCTAAAATCAGACTTAATGTAGACTTTAAAAGACCTGCTGTTTTATTTGCAGCCATTAAGCATTGGTATATGCTTGCAGTTGAGCTTAAAACGTGCAGAGTTTCACTTTTTTCCCTTGGTGTTGTGGGAGAGAAAACTCACTCTGACGATGTAAACTTTGGGATTTGAGCCTTTACAGAATATTTACTTATTTATAAACCTATTTAACAAACTACAGGACATGGAAAACCCCAAGACACATAATAGGGCCCCTTTAAATAT